ATCAACTAGAAGAAGAACAAAGGCGAACTAAATGGGAAAACCTGGAACGAGAAAGAAAAGCCCAAGAATTAGCCAAAAAGCAAGCCCGAATTCAAGCCGAAATTCAAACTAACCAAACTCGAACCCAAAAGGTAGAAAAGGAATTAGACCAACTTAGAGCCGAAATCCGCCAAAAAGATTTTTCCCAGCAAAAAACTGAGGATAAATTAACTAAATTAATTAAGTATACTCAATTCAAAGAAGAAAGACAAAACTTGCGTAAACAATTAGCCCAATACTCTAACTTGCCTAATTCCCGAGAATACTGAAAACAATTTGAAAAACCAATTATCGAAGCCAAGGAACAAATTGCCCTCCAACATGAAGCCCACGAAGACTGAAAGAAAAAAACTAAGTTGCCACACAAAAAGAAAAAAATTCAAGTGGGATTACCTTTAAAACCCGGTAGTTATTTGGAAAGAAAATATCCTCATCCTAAGGATTTATTTGAACACACTGATTTTCAAGTTTGTGATGAAAGTATTGAACACGATATTGGTCAAGCCGTCTGGGAAAAATTCTTTCTACAAGAGAAATATAAAGAAATCAGTATCGTCGATGTTTCTCTTCGTGACAAACTAATCACCAAGTTAGAAAAGAACCAACTCTTATACGGAGAAATTTGTCAAGATTTAGATTTAGAATCCGTCTTTCAAGAAGAGTTGAAAAAAGAACGAGAACAAGAGGAGGAACGAAAGAGAAAAGAGCAGGAACAAGCCCAACGAGAAAAACTGCACAAAGAACAAGAGAAACAACGCAAACAAGCCGAAAAGAAAAAGACGATTACTAAGAAATTTCAACCGGTAGTAATAAGCAAGCAAGGCCTCACTTTTCATCATCCTGGCACCACTAAATCTCTCCAATTCCCATGATGATTTTTATTCTTAACCTCCGTTTTGATAGCGATACTTTGTGACCTTTGTCATAATTATCTCCTCCCGTGATTGGTAAAACGATTATTCAAAAAAGAAGTTCAATGCGAAAATTGTTCACACAAAATGAAAGAATTTCCGGATGAAAATTATAACCTCTGCCAAAAGTGTTTATTGGAGTATTATGTCCGAATAATTAATGTCAACAAAACCACCAAGTCTAAGAAAAAACAACTGGAATTAGAACTTAAAACCTAAAATAAATAATTAACTCAAAAATGAACGTACTAACAACACCCAAAAGAATAAAAAAAGTCCAAGAGACAAATTCGGCTGACAAGAAAAAGAAAGGGAGAGGCCTTATTTCTCGCTCGAAGTGATTAATCCTTTACCTTTTGTTTACTTGCTTAATAGCCACCGCCTTAGCCGGTTCTTATTGCTCGATTGCTAATCCGAGCCCAGAAGAAAAGGAAACTAAACCAGAAACACCAGAACAAAAAGAACCAGTATTAGATAAAGAAACCAACCCAGAAATTTCTCAACCAGAACCTTTATCCAAAGTGCCAGAAAGTCCCGAGGAAAACCAGAGTTTTTTTAATCAGGAAAATGCTGAAAGCGAAGAAATTCCACCTCAACCCGAACCCTTACCTAAAATAACTGAAAAGCCAGAGAAAAACCGACAGGAAAATACTAAGGGCGAAGAAACTAAACCAAAACCACCTTTATCATTAGAACTAGAATATGATCGGGTGATTGCCTCCATTAAAGCGGGAACTATTCGTGGTGAAGCGATTAATCTTCCTCTTAGATCGACAACCGAAAGAAAAATAACTATTCGGGAAAGAGATTTTTACTTGTGTCGGGTGGCCGATTGCTCTTTTAATACTATTCCTAGCACTTGCTTTCACGGCTTTCCCACTCATTGTCCTAAGAAAGATTGTGTTTTTTCGCAAAGAGAAATTGTCCAATATCCTAATTATTGTTCTCGGCACGAATGCAGCAGTTTTGTTTGTTCCGAGTTAGTTCTGGCTTACGAAGATGGTTTGGCTAAATATTGTGGGAAATGTTTACCTTCGAAAGTAATAGAAGTTAAAGAACCGAAATTAATAGTTTCCGAGACTGGTAATTTTTTGATTTTTTCCCGTCAATTTCGGTAAGCAGAGGATAGTTCTCATTCGTAAACTTTAGGTTCGCTTATTTGATAATTAAGTTTGACTTCAAGGTCGAATCCAATTCATCTTCATTCTTGGGCGTCTAGGATTTCTTTTACTTTCTGATAATTGGGAGTTGGTCGAATTATTTTGAGTTTCGTTTCCTCTTCATTTTCCTCTTCGGGCTTGATTTCTTTCGGTTCTTTAACTTCTATTACTTTCGAAGGTAAACATTTCCCACAATATTTAGCCAAACCATCTTCGTAAGCCAGAACTAACTCGGAACAAACAAAACTGCTGCATTCGTGCCGAGAACAATAATTAGGATATTGGACAATTTCTCTTTGCGAAAAAACACAATCTTTCTTAGGACAATGAGTGGGAAAGCCGTGAAAGCAAGTGCTAGGAATAGTATTAAAAGAGCAATCGGCCACCCGACACAAGTAAAAATCTCTTTCCCGAATAGTTATTTTTCTTTCGGTTGTCGATCTAAGAGGAAGATTAATCGCTTCACCACGAATAGTTCCCGCTTTAATGGAGGCAATCACCCGATCATATTCTAGTTCTAATGATAAAGGTGGTTTTGGTTTAGTTTCTTCGCCCTTAGTATTTTCCTGTCGGTTTTTCTCTGGCTTTTCAGTTATTTTAGGTAAGGGTTCGGGTTGAGGTGGAATTTCTTCGCTTTCAGCATTTTCCTGATTAAAAAAACTCTGGTTTTCCTCGGGACTTTCTGGCACTTTGGATAAAGGTTCTGGTTGAGAAATTTCTGGGTTGGTTTCTTTATCTAATACTGGTTCTTTTTGTTCTGGTGTTTCTGGTTTAGTTTCCTTTTCTTCTGGGCTCGGATTAGCAATCGAGCAATAAGAACCGGCTAAGGCGGTGGCTATTAAGCAAGTAAACAAAAGGTAAAGGATTAATCACTTCGAGCGAGAAATAAGGCCTCTCCCTTTCTTTTTCTTGTCAGCCGAATTTGTCTCTTGGACTTTTTTTATTCTTTTGGGTGTTGTTAGTACGTTCATTTTTGAGTTAATTATTTATTTTAGGTTTTAAGTTCTAATTCCAGTTGTTTTTTCTTAGACTTGGTGGTTTTGTTGACATTAATTATTCGGACATAATACTCCAATAAACACTTTTGGCAGAGGTTATAATTTTCATCCGGAAATTCTTTCATTTTGTGTGAACAATTTTCGCATTGAACTTCTTTTTTGAATAATCGTTTTACCAATCACGGGAGGAGATAATTATGACAAAGGTCACAAAGTATCGCTATCAAAACGGAGGTTAAGAATAAAAATCATCATGGGAATTGGAGAGATTTAGTGGTGCCAGGATGATGAAAAGTGAGGCCTTGCTTGCTTATTACTACCGGTTGAAATTTCTTAGTAATCGTCTTTTTCTTTTCGGCTTGTTTGCGTTGTTTCTCTTGTTCTTTGTGCAGTTTTTCTCGTTGGGCTTGTTCCTGCTCTTTTCTCTTTCGTTCCTCCTCTTGTTCTCGTTCTTTTTTCAACTCTTCTTGAAAGACGGATTCTAAATCTAAATCTTGACAAATTTCTCCGTATAAGAGTTGGTTCTTTTCTAACTTGGTGATTAGTTTGTCACGAAGAGAAACATCGACGATACTGATTTCTTTATATTTCTCTTGTAGAAAGAATTTTTCCCAGACGGCTTGACCAATATCGTGTTCAATACTTTCATCACAAACTTGAAAATCAGTGTGTTCAAATAAATCCTTAGGATGAGGATATTTTCTTTCCAAATAACTACCGGGTTTTAAAGGTAATCCCACTTGAATTTTTTTCTTTTTGTGTGGCAACTTAGTTTTTTTCTTTCAGTCTTCGTGGGCTTCATGTTGGAGGGCAATTTGTTCCTTGGCTTCGATAATTGGTTTTTCAAATTGTTTTCAGTATTCTCGGGAATTAGGCAAGTTAGAGTATTGGGCTAATTGTTTACGCAAGTTTTGTCTTTCTTCTTTGAATTGAGTATACTTAATTAATTTAGTTAATTTATCCTCAGTTTTTTGCTGGGAAAAATCTTTTTGGCGGATTTCGGCTCTAAGTTGGTCTAATTCCTTTTCTACCTTTTGGGTTCGAGTTTGGTTAGTTTGAATTTCGGCTTGAATTCGGGCTTGCTTTTTGGCTAATTCTTGGGCTTTTCTTTCTCGTTCCAGGTTTTCCCATTTAGTTCGCCTTTGTTCTTCTTCTAGTTGAT